CTTCCACAAATACAAAAAAAGATTTGTAAACTCACAAAAATATTTTGCAAGTATAAAATGGATCTGCAAATACACAAACACATTTCACAAATAAAAAAAATATCTTCGAATACATTAAATTAATTTGCAAATAAATTAAAAGCATTTGTAAAATTTTTGAGTAATTCCCTGCTACACACGTGATTTTAACGTATTTTGACAGAGAATTTTGACAAAGAATGAGCACTCATTAAACAGTAGAACCTGGGCTACAAGGCTGTATAAACCCTTTGTACATGCCCCAAACACAGCTCAAACCACAATTAAATGAATAACAACAAATCAAACTCCATACAGCACCGATGTGCCAACCCACTTGCCATATTTTGGCACGTTATGCAAAACACACGCCATTCATCTCAAATGAAAGCAGAGAGTGCCGTTTCTACACATATCCGCCAAAGCATGCTACACCAAAGCATCACAGAGATAGAGGCCAAAGAACAACAACAATAGAAAATGTTTCGCCGAACGATAGTTGTAAAAATTTCTCTTACCGTTGTTGTTTTGCCGTGAAAAGTTTATTCTACCGGAAAAACACAGTACATCCTGGTAAACGGACATGTTGTGCTGTGTTCAAATGAATCAGGGTAGACAAGACGGGCTTTAGGACCTGGGGGGGAAGCATTCTGCTGACTACTGACTGGCTTACAGTGCTGTCAATCTCGTGTTGGTGGGTATAGCGTCATTCTATTGGCTCTAACGAATCAAACGAGGTGTCAATCACTCAAATGACCAATCCGTTGCAGAGATAGAGGTCTCTAGTTTTGCAGACCGAACTGGGTGGGGCCAGGTGGATTTTGCAAGTTTGGCACACCGTGCACGCTGGTGCAGCTACTCCTCTTTTTTGCACAAGTCTGAAAGAGGGAGGAGAGAAGGCATGGAGTGGGTTTTACACAGCCGATTCACATCACACCAATCAAATGAGCCAATCTCCTCGCCCTTAAATGTGCCGTCCAAGGACTTAATGGGAGTTTACTCAATTCGCCATGGCAGAAGAGATCAGCAGCATCCTCTTCCTCCTCCTCGCAATAATGTACTCCATCTTTGTAGATCACGTTAAGCAAGAACATTTTAACATTTGTATAGGCAATCACATGAAGCACGTAAACCCTTAAGACACCGAACATAACTTACAATTTGTTGACAGCGTTTCTCTCGTGCGTGCGCGCGCTCTCTTTCTCTCTCGCAGTCTCACTCTGTTTCTTTTCTTTTGACTTTTCTAAGATGACAGATGCTGAATATTTACTCCCTATCTGATGCTGTGGCTGTTTGTGGTTGGCTGAGAGGGATGTGAACTCATTAGTTTGCAGCTGTATTAATCAAATCAGGTTGGGTTTCCATTACGTGTGCCAAACGTGCCAAACGGTGCCAATCCCCTTTGATCTGATCAGATGTGACGGGACAGTCGGTATAGAGATACATTTATGTGCTGATTGCAGATAGTTGCATTGAATAGTGGTTTTTGGGGTATTTATTGCATCGTTAATGTGCCTGACATTCTGGAAACCTGCCTGTGAGGTTTTGGTGACGTGTGCGCACTGTCCGCCGGTCAGCCAAACTTCTGCTACAACAGCTGCGCTCCCCCTGTGCTGACAGTAGACGTGGTTTCAGCTGGAGAGCTTTTAAAGCACCTACGGAAAAGCCTTTTAGCACGAAACTGTCACTGTGCCAAGCTGGATCTGTCAACACCTCCCCCTGCTGCGCCGCCACACCCATCTCAGCGCACCTCGGTCTGCCAAACTACCAAACTGAGCGAGCCTAAGGTTGCGCTGCTCGAAACTAGCTCTGCGTGGGGTTCACCACCCTGCGCTGCACCAGGAAACTAGAGGCCAGAGTCTCCAAAGCACAGAAGAGTAAATTTGCTTCACATTTAGATGGTGTGTGTGTGTGTGGTCAGTTGGAAATGAAAAAACGAAACGGACAGTTGTATGTGTATATACTGAACACCATAAGGGATTTACTACTTGCTCTCCTCCTGCTGCCTTTTTGTTTTTTCCAAAAAATTGTCTACTATCCATACTACAAGACTAAGTAAAACGCGGTGACTCGGTGCAGGCCACCAGTGTGCACAATAAATACAATTGTAATACAGAGTATTGTAACAAGTTCTAATTCTGACTGCCCATATATGGGCATATGCCATGTAAGCTGGTGTGACAGTGAGTGTGCTGCTGTGTTGTTGTCTGTTGTGCTCCCGAGCCGTGCCATGGACTGTAAGTTGGAAAGGAGGTGCTTTATTAGACAAAACAAAGGTGAAGGTGTGTGGACACTCTACTAAATAAATGAGTAAAGAGACCGAGCAACAATTATCAGATTTATCTGAAGACAAAACAAATAGTAATGCAAATAATTATAGCATAGGCTGACCAAACGTCCTCTTTTGCCCGGACATGTCCACTTTTCACGTCC